ACCCCCAGCCTCCAAGTCCTGGTCCACAAGCCCCCGCCTGTCTGCCCATCCGTCTCTCAGGCGCCTGTCTCACGTGTCTGGCCACCGCTCCTATTACCTGCGCGGGGCTGGAGCCCTCCTGCAACATGGCCTGGTCAACTTCACCCTCAGCAAGCTCATCCAGCGGGTATGGTCCAAGTATGAGAGGCTACCTGGAGGGGTGGCATTGAAGCTGAGCTCCGAAGGCTCAAGGCAGTGAGGAGGGGGTGTGACCGCTGTTCCAGTTACGGTTTTCAGAACTTCACATGTATCATTGACACATTTAATTCTATGACAACTTTCTGAGGTGGGTGCTAGTATTATCCCCACTTTAGAGATTGAGAAATTGAGGTCTGGAAGGGGAGTAAGTAGCTGAAGGCTCTATAGCTAGCATGTAGGCTCAAGGATAGAGCCTACATTTGTAACCACTGCGCTTGCTGCCTGCCTGCCTGCTGTGTACACAGTGTTGCAGAATCATGGCGTCCATTGACACTGGAGGGGGGTTGGCCAGGGCTCAGTGCATGGGGCATTGGCCATGGCAAGGGACTGGGACATTACCTGGGGAGCCACGGAAGGCTTTAAGCAGGGGAGGGAATGATAGAACTGTGATCTGTCGTATGATCTGAGTGTGGAAACCATGAAGTGCCAGAAGAGGGTCCCAGTGACAGGGACACCAGGGCCGGGGCCAGCAAAGCCCACTGCTCAGGCCTTCCTCAGTTTCCTCTGAAGTGGAATGGACTTTGGAGTGACAAGGGAGTGCAGTGGCCATCTGCAGTGTCCCTTCAGGCCTGAGCTTGGGGTCTGGGGGGGTCTTGGCTGTGCTACTCACCCCTTTCCTTCCCCACACAGGGCTTCACCCCCATGACAGTGCCAGACCTTCTCCGAGGAGCTGTGTTTGTGAGTGAGGACTCTGCTCTCCAAGCCGAGCTGTGTATCAGGCCCTGCGCTGGGGACCCCGGGCAGAGGCCAGCCTGTCTCCCTAGGAAACTGCCCTAGGGCTGGCTTGAGGGGTCGGGATGGGCCAGGGAGGCCAGGGTGGTTCCAGATTCTTATAGGGGAGGAGCAGGGGTTGTGACTGCAAAGTGGAGGAGGCTGTGCCTCGCTGTCCCCTGACCTCTGTGGCCTGGCCTCCTCAGGAAGGCTGTGGGATGACACCTAATGCCAACCCATCCCAAATTTACAACATTGACCCCTCCCGCTTTGAAGACCTCAACCTGGCCGGGACAGCAGAGGTGGGGCTTGCAGGTGAGCACCTGCCTGGGGCAAGGGTGGTGAGTACACCTCCAGTGTCCTCAGAGCAGGAGCAATTTTAAGGGGGCAACTTGGAGTATTCTGGGGGGTGGCGGCTGCCTGCCCAGGGTACCTTGGCAACCCCAGGGCCAACATGTACAGCTGTGCAGGTTGTTTACTGCCCAACAGCACAGTGAGGGTCCAGCCACATGCCGGACATGAGGTTGTGTCTGCCAGAGGGGATACCTTTTATAATCCTACAAAAGTTTCCTGTGGATGGAGGGTGGCCCTGGCTGACCCAGACTGTCCCCCTCTCCTCCCAGGCTACTTCATGGACCACGCTGTGGCCTTCAGGGACCTGCCAATCAGGTGATGCCCAGTTCCTGTAGACCTTGCCCCCACCTGTGATGTTCCCTCTCCCTTCCCTGACCCCACCATCCCTGCTCCCCCAGGATGGTTTGTTCCAGTACCTGCTACCGGGCAGAAACACACACAGGGAAGGAGCCATGGGGGCTATATCGAGTGCACCACTTCACCAAGGTTGGCATAGCAGGGACTTAGGGGGGCCACCCAACAGCCCAGGGTTTCCTGACTCCTTTGCCCCCTGCTCTGCGCCAGGTGGAGATGTTCGGGGTGACAGGCCCTGGGCTGGAACAGAGCTCACAGCTGCTGGAGGAGTTTCTGTCCCTGCAGATGGAGATCTTGACAGAGCTGGGCTTGCACTTCCGGTGCGGAGGAGGGTGGGGCTGAGGTGGGGGAGAGAGGAGGTAGATGCTGGGCTGGCGCTCCCCCCATTCTGAAAACCCTCTCCACTGCTCCCCCTGCCCCCTTTTCCCTGTGTAGGCTATCTGTCTGCCCATCAATCTCTGAAGTCCTGACTAGGGTTATGGGATTGTAACCACAGCATCAGCAGCACAGGGTGCTCCAGGGTCGAGACCCAGGCCCCTTCCCTCCTGTTGCTCCCCATCCCTAAGGTGCTGCCTCTCCTGCAGTCCCAGGCGGCTTCTCACCACCCGGTGAGAAGGGGCGGGGGGACACACCCCTTGCCTTAAAGATGTTTCAAGCCTACTTCCCCTCTCACTGTCAGTCACACGTAGCTTTCAAAAGATGCTGAAAAACACAGACTTTTTCTGGGGTGACCCATTACAAATATTTGGGGTGCTATTATTACAGACAGTGGGACTGGCCATGGTGAGCATCCTGGAGACACAGCCACAAGCCCTTTCTCCTCCCTGGCCTTCTCTCCCATCAGCTCCTTCCTGCCTCCTGTATCACCTTCTCCATCACCACCCACTGCCTCAATGAGGTGTCCCCTTTGCCACTATCGCCCTTTTTTACTTCCATTGCCCACTTTTAGCTACCTTCTCTCCCACTGCCTCCCTCCTCCTCTCACCCTGACCTTCGCCTTGCCTGTCTCCATGGCTGCAGGGTCCTGGACATGCCCACCCAGGAACTGGGCCTTCCCGCCTACCGCAAGTTCGACATTGAGGCCTGGATGCCAGGCCGGGGCCGCTTTGGCGAGGTGAGCCCCCGCCCCAGTGGGGACGCAGGGTGGAAAGAAGATGACACCGGCCCCACAGCTGATCCTCTCAGCTCACCCCACCCCCCTGTCCAGGTCACCAGTGCTTCTAACTGCACAGACTTCCAGAGCCGCCGCCTCCACATCATGTTCCAGACAGAGGCTGGGGAGCTGCACTTTGCCCACACGGTGAGCACCTGTCTCCACTCCCAACCGTCCACACCACCTCAACCCCTGGGGCCCACCAGCAGGCCTCAGCCAGAGCGTGTCTCTCTCCCAGGTGAACGCCACAGCCTGTGCTGTCCCCCGCCTTCTCATCGCCCTCCTGGAAAGCAATCAGCAAAAGGTGAGGGGCCCTGGCCAGTGTGGCTCAGTTGGTTGGGCATCATCCCGTGCACTGAAAGGTTGCTGGTTCGATCCCTGGTCAGGGCACATGCCCAGATTGTGGGCTCGATCCCTGGTAGGGAACATGCAGGAGGCAGCTGATCGATGTTTCCCACTTGCATTGGTGTTTCTCCTTTTCCCTTCCTCTCTCTATAAACATCAGTAAAGAAATCTTAAAAAAAAAAAAAAAATGGTGAATTATACCCAAAAGGGCAGGGGTGGAGGGCTAGTGCAGTGGCAGCATCCTAAGGCCTGCTTTGTCCCCAGGACGGCTCGGTCCTCATTCCCCCTGCCCTCCAGCCCTACCTTGGCACCGATCGGATCACAGCCCCCACCCACGTGCCTCTCCAGTATATTGGGCCCAACCAGCGCCAGAAGCCCAGGCTCCCGGGCCAGCCTGCCTTGAACTGAGGACTCCTCCTCATCAGCCACCTGGGTTGTCGCTGGCTGAGGGGACCGTGGACCCCGAGACATGTCCTGAGCCTGCCCTGACATCTGGATTCCTCCTCAGCTCCACGCCTGGGCCTGTGGACTCCCGGGTCCACCTCTCCTTCCCTGCTGCCTCAGAATCAGTGATCTTGTTGTCACTGGGGGTCCCAATGGGAAGCAGGACATCTGGGGACTTGAAGGATCTAGGGATGGGATAAGAAGAGAGACCTCCACCCCTTCTGTCTTCCCTCCCGCCTTAGTGCTTAGCAGAAAGTCCCTAATAAATGGTCAGAACAATGGTCTTTGTGGATCTGTGAGCACAGGAAATGGCCCTGGCCAACTAGTGTGGGTGGGGGCAATTGCTCAGAAGTGCTAAATGATCAGAGGGGCCATGGCTGGACATACCCAGCAACTCCTAGGGCACATGGACAATGCTGGGTTTGAACCCAGGCCCGCCTTTCAGTAGCTTGGGGACCAGCAGGGAGCTGAGAGGATGCTAAGGCCTCTCCCCCAATTTTGGGATAGTGACACCTCTCCCTGACCCATTTCAACCTCACCTCTCGGTCCCCTGCTCCAGGTAGAGGGCCAGTAGGCAGCATTGATGGTGAAACCCAAATTTGCTCTTCCCCTGGGTGTGCCCGCTGCAGCATTTGGAGCCATTTTCCTAGCTCCCCTGGCCACAGCCCTGTAGGTCATCCTCAATTCCTCTTCCATCCACATCTGCAGACCTGGGCAGTTGCACCTTCAGAATGTTTCCAGAGCCGCCCTCTCTCATCCCAGCCCCTCTACGGTCCTGTCCACCGCTATCTCCCATTTGGAGCATCATGTAGCCTCTTTGGTGTCTCCCTGCTCCTGTCTCACACATACAGCCAGAGCGCCCCTGTGACACAGGCATCAGGGCTTGTGCCCCCTGCCCAGAGCTCCCCTGTGGCTCCAGCTCAGGAAAGGACAGGGTTGTCACTGTCGTCCACAAGGCCCCACTTCAACCCTCCCTCTCTTCCTCCTTCCTTCGTGATTATTTGAGTATTGTCTATCACCCCTTCTCAAATGCCTACTCCAAGAGTGCAAGACAATGTGCCAGTCCTTCGCTGCAGCAGCCTCATTGGGCATGTAGTAGGGGCTCAATAAAAATTACAGGCTTGAAGGTGCTGCAATCTGAGGAGTTCCCAGTATCCAGAACTGCTTAAATCAGTGGTCACCAACCGGTGGTCCTCGGACCACTGGTGGCCCATGAGGTCCAAAAGGTTGGCGACTGCTGGCCTAAATGATCTTACACATACATTCATTTATTTAATCCTCACCGTCAAGCCTCACCTGTGGAATAGGTTGTCACCAACTCTATTTTACAAATGAAGAAACAGGTGTCAAAGAGGTTAAGCAATTGTCCAAGGGCTGCAGGGCTGGGAGCTGGGAGTCAGGCAGAGCCCAGTCACGACCTCAGGGATAGGTAGGCTATGAGACCCACTTTCCAGGTGAGGAAACGGGCCAAGAGAAGGTAAGAGTTGCCTGAGGTTGGTCAGTAAGTGGCTTCTTCGAACCTAAGCCCACCTTTCAACAAGGCCTTTTGCTTGTCAGACCTTCTCTGGGGGAACCTCCCTATCCCCATGCTGGTTCTGTGCCGGAAGCAGGAGGGGAGAGGGTGCAGGGTGTGGGTCCCCATGAATAATTGAGGGACTCAGGCAGGTCAGCGCCCCGCAGCTGTTCCACCCGCAGTAGGAGGGCGTGGTGGTGACATCACTTTCTCCCTGTGGGGAGGGGGTAATGGGTTATAAGGAGCTGCCACCCTAGCGCCGAGGACCCTGATTGGGAAGCACCACCATGCAGTGCCATGGAAGGCCCTCCGTGCTGCTGTTGCTGCCACTGTCCCTGCTGCTGGGGGCGTGTGAGTGCAAGGAACCGGGGAGGGGGCACCTTGGGGGCCAGGCTGGGAAGCAGGGTGACTGGGGGCTGGGACAGTACACCCAGCGGGTCGGATGAGAAACTTCATGAGCCCAGCTGTCTGGTGGGGACAGTACATGGGGCAGGTGGCTGGGGAGGGGACAGGGATCAGGGCGCCCTTGGAGCTGGGATCAGCACCAGGGACAGCGCTGGGGTCCCAAGCCCAGTTCCCATCTCCTTCCTCCACAGCCACTGCTGCTCCTTTGGCATCAAGATCCTCCAAGGAGGAGGTAAGGAGTGTGGACCTCTTGCCCTGCCTCATCTCCCTGGAGCCCTGGCCCTCCCTGCCCAGCTTCCTCCACATCAGCACCCCTCCAGCTGCTCTCCTTACCCCCATCTGCTCTCCCCTCAACCTCCCCTCTGACCCTTCACCCCCAGCTGACCCGCTGTCTGGCAGAGGTGGTCACAGAAGTGCTGACTCTGGGTCAGGCCCAGCGAGGCCCCTGCATGGCTCTCCTGCACAAAGGTAAGGAGGACCCAGGCCCCAGTTCCTCTGGGAGCCCACCCCACCCAGAGTCTGCCCCGGGCTGCCTGGAGGGTGTTCTCTTATCCCAGGGCCTCCCTTGCCTCCTCCACTCACCTCCCTCTCCGAAGCCTCTCCCTTCTCCTGCTTGGGCTCAATTTCTGGCTGGCGGAGGAGGTGTTGGTGCAGCAAGTCCTCATGCCCCTCCCTTCTCCCAAAGTGTCCAGCCTGGTCCCCAGCCCACCCTTGGGGCTCCTTAGAGGTACAGGAGGGGGGGCAGAGTGTCCCTGGGCCCTGACCCTCCTCTCCCGGTTCTGGGCAGTCCCCCTGCGGACCTCAGGAGGGCCCCGGAACTCAGTTCTGGGCAGTCCCCCTGCGGACCTCAGGAGGGCCCCGGAACTCCTCCAGATGTTTCCCAACTGGCTGCAGTGTCCTTTCTCTTCCCACCAGAGATGTGTGAGACAGAGCCCTACAGCTGTGTGTCCACTGAGGAGAAAGGCCTGCTGGTTAGCGATTTCAAGAAGCGGGAGGCTGGGAAGATGAGGTCCAGCCAGGAAGTGAGGGATGAGGAAGAGGAGGCAGCAGAGAGGACCCACAAGTCTGAGGTGCGGGAACAGGCCATGCACGAGCATCTCCACAGCCGGCTCCGCCAGGAAGAGGACCATGAGGAGGCACAGAAGAAGGAGGAGGAGGAGGAAGAGGAAGAGGAGGAGGAGGAGAAGGAGGAGGAAAAGAAAAAAAGGGGGCCCATGGAGACCTTCGAAGGCCTGTGGAAGCGGTGGCAAGAGGATGGAGGGGACCCCCAGAAGCAGGTGGCAGAGCAGGCCAGTGACGAGGAGCTGGCCCAGTTCAAGGCCAAGGAGAAGGGCATGCATGTGCTGGGTGGGGGCAGCAGCCTGTGGCAGGGGGCCAAGGGCAGGGGAAGAGAGAGGCACAAGGACTCGCTGTACCACCATCGCCGCCAGCCAGAAACTGAGTCCAAGCAGGAGGAGAAGGAAGAGGCTTTGGAGAGGGAGGTGAGTGGAGGGGGCAGTGGGGAGCAGGGTGGACCAAACGCCAGTGGAGTTCCTACCAAACACCTACCAGTGTTGGGCCTTAAATAGCAAGATCCACCATGACTGGGTCACAGTGACCAGGACTGACACCAGGACTAGGTAGCAATATCCAAGGGCCTCTACTTGACCAAGAAGGCTTCCATTCTGATTACAGTCACCCAGATGGCCACCATCAGTTCACAGAGCATCTGAGTTAGCCACCACTGCTAGTCCCTGCCGAGCAAATTGGCCCCATGAAAAGGCTGCGGTGCCTGATTCACTGAACTATAGATAGATATATTGCTGGGTCAGAAAGTAAGATGCTTCCATGATTGATGGCAGCAACCAAAATGGCCATCCCCCCACATGGGTCATGGCATCCAAGCTGGGCACCTTTGCTAGTCCTGTGTCTGCTGCTGTTGGCTATGGCAGTCACCACAGACCTCACCACTGGTCACGTTACTCTTCCAGGGTTATAGCAACCACTGTGGTCACCATCACAGCCCATGATGACCAAGATGACTGCTGCCGGCTGCCATTGTGCGAGCTGCCATGGCCCACATTCATGGGCAACCACTGATGTGGCCTGCCCTTGGAGGTGAGCGCTGACCACCCATTTCTGATCCCACCAGGAGCAGGATGTGGAGCAGCTGGAGCACGTGAGCGAGGAGCTGAAGAAGGCAGCGGAGATGCTGGGGGAGGAGCTCCGGAGGGAGGGCTGACTCGACCTCATGTCCTCCTTCTTCCTGGCACACCCTATGGCTTAGGACTGGTGACCCCAAAACCCCCACCTCATCTGGCGCCCCTGCCTCTCCCCAACCTGCAGGAATGGGAGAAGGGTGTGCTTTGGAACCAGGCCTGAGGGGCCAAGTCTTCCCTGAATAAGGGGGTGGGTTTAGACTGACTCAAAAAACACTCTGCCACCCACGAAACCCACTCCAACCCTTCTGAGTGAATAAAGCACAAAGAAAACCACCAAGGCTTACTGTGTAGCACTCAATTTTGGAGGGATGGAGCCCATGAGTAAACTGGAGGACTGGGAAGGCAACAGTCAATCTAGTCTCTGATTGTCAGAACTAGGATTTTATTTAATTAGAAATTCTATTAACAAGTCAGATGGGGTCATCAGGGAGAGGTTTTGAAGCTGGGGTAGGAGGTAGCCAGTTTGTGCTCCGGCCACTGTGGACCACGATGTCGTCGTATTCATCCTGGGGGCAGAGGAGGCCAGGCAGAGGGGCTCAGGTGGCTGCCACCTTGCCCGCTGCCCAATTTCTCCCACCCGCCCTAAGATTTGGTCTTGCCTTGAAACCCACGTTTCCCCCCACTCTTAGTTCAACTTCCCTGCTTAGTTCTCCATCCACCATTTTCAAGGTCATCTGTGTTTTCCCCACTCCTGCTGGAGCTGTAGCCCAGTTGCTTCTCCAGTTCTACAGCCACTGAGGTCTCCCTCCTCCACCCCTTCCCTCTGCCTTTACCCAAATTCCTCAGCTCCCACCATGCAACGTCATCGCCTGCCCAAGGGTTCTCCAAAGCAGCAACCTCACCGCTGCCTAAGGTCTTTCCCACTGCTGCCAGTGTTTGAATCACTGCTGCCCACCTACCAGTCACTACAACTGAGATCTTTTCTCTGCCTCTACCTGAGTTCTCCCTCCCTCCAACCCCTGTCCAGGTACTTGCACCGTTTGCACTCCTGCCCGAGTTCTCAAATCACAGCAGCCCAAAGTCAGTCTCAATGTGCTGCTTAATTTCTCTGTTCCCTTTCCCACCTGCCCATCTACCCTGAGCCCCCAGCTGAGCCTCCCAGTCTTTCCTCCTGACTCACGCCCTCATCCCCGCTGTCACTGTCGCTACTGCTGCTGCAGGGTCCAGGCTTGTCGTCCTCATCCTCGGGTTCAGGGGCTCCGTGTGCACGGAGGAGGCGGGCGAGGATGGGGTTGGGCCGGAGCATGGCGCTGCCCAGTGGGGTGCGGCCACCGTACATGCGGGCAGCAGGGTCAGCACCTGCCTTCAGGAGAAGCTCCAGCACATCAGCTGCTTGGGCCTCCACTGCCAAGTGCAGGGGGCTCCGGCCACACGTGGGCTCCTGTGGGTGTAGCAGAGAGGTCAGAGGGGGCCCTGCCCCACTCTGGGACAACCCCCAACCTGCCACACCTCCTCCCTAGGGAGGCTCACCAGTTTGTTTAGGTCAGCTCCGGCCTCCCAGAGTAGTCGGACCATCTCTGCATCTTTGTGGATGACGGCCACATGGAGTGGGGTGTGGCCTGGGGACAGAGTGATGTTAGACAATGAGGCTGAGGGACCTGGGCCCCCAGTGCCACAGCTCGGCGGAGGGCTTTGTGGCCTGAGGGTGACCGAGTCTGGGGTCTGGATCCTGAATTCCTGGGTGTGTCAAAGAGGCATCTGCATGGCAAATGCCTAAGTCTCAGGGGAACTGGAACTGGCTGGCAGTGCCAATGCTTAGGTTGTGGGCCTATGGACAGGAGGCCCGGATCTTGGGAACAGGAAACCTAAGTCTCTGGTCTTACTTCACAAAGAACCTGAAACTCAAATTCCTGGGTCCTGAGTGGTTGAAGGACCTGTGAGCTTGGGGGCCTGGGGTGGACCCTGAACACTGACTGGGTCCTGGATGACATCAGTCCCTTTGTGAAGGGGCCAGTCCCGGGTAGTTGGGCTTAGAGATGGGAGACACCAGGGCCCTGGTAGAACTGGCTGAATAGGGCTGTACCTAAACTCCGGTGTCAACCTTTTGGAGCCTGGGGTACCAGAGTTTCACAGAGGGCCTGAGCCTTGAGTTTCCTTATCCTAGGTGGGCTGGGACCCATGGTTGGGGGTAGGGAGATGTCCAGGATGTGTTGTGCCTTCTGGCTGGGGAGGCTGGGCCCAACCACTGGATTTTGCCTAATAGCTCTAGGCCTGTGGGTTCCTAGTGATCTGGAGCCTCCAGGTAGGGGTTCTGGGTCCCACACAGCCAATTCTCAATAATCTGGGATCTGGGCAGGAGTCTTTGGTCCCAATGCCTGGGTCCCTGAAGCCTCAGTATTATTTCCCAAGGGGCTGGGTATTGAGTCAGGAGAGCTGAGCCCAAAGCCAGGTGCTGTCACCTGGACCTTCTCAGTAATGTGGACTCTCACCTTCATAGTTTTCAGCCTCTAGCTGCAGCTTCCAGTCCTCATTCTCTTCCTCCTCCTTCTCCAAGTCGGGTTTGGGGTACAACGCAACAGCAGTGTGGTCAGTGCCAGGGGTGTGGTCTGTGCCAGGGGTGGGGTCGGTGCCAGGGGTGTGGTCAGGGTCCTGAGCGAGGTAGATATGGGGGGCTTCCCTAGGGTGCTGGGGGCGGGGCTGGAGCAGCACTTGAGCACAGGCGTGTGCCCCCATGCGGCAGGCTAGGTGCAGCGCTGTGTGGCCCCCACGCTCTGCCACATGCAACCCGGAGCCCGCCGTATACAATTTCTCCACCGTGGATGCCTCCCCCAGGATGGCTGCCAGGTGCAGGGCTGTCTGCAGGAGCAGAGCGCAAATGTTAGAAGTCACACTGAGAATCCTGGCCCCAAGCCCTACACTATCTTCCAGTGGCTCACCTGGCCCAGGTCATTCTGCAGGTCCAGGTACTCAGTACCAGCTGCAAAGCCTAGGAGGAAGTCCAGGAAGGGCTCATGCTGATGAATCACCGCCAAGTGCAGTGCCCTGAGAACAAGGACAGGGGTCAGAAGGCACAGGTCAAGTACTCTTGCACTCACTCATTCAATAAACTGTGTGCTAGCCATTGTGACCACAGTTCTGGAACCAGATGTCAGGAATCTGAGAGGGTCAGGTCTGAGTTAATGTAGAAAATTTATTTAATCAATATTTATTAAGTAGGACTTCTGCCTCCTCTCAAACATGGACCAGATTTCCCTCACATATGAATCAATGAACAAATCAGACCAAACATCCTATATAATAAAAGGCTAATATGCAAATCGACCAAACGGTGGAATGACCGACCGGTCACTGTGATGCACACTGACCACCAGGGGGCAGACGCTCAATGCAGGAGCTGCCCTCTGGTGGTCAGTGCGCTCCCACAGGGGGTGTGCCACTCAGCACACCCTGAGTCGGGCTCACGGCTGGCGAGCGCAGCAGCGGTGGCGGGAGCCTCTCCCACCGCTGTGGCAGTCGGACATCCCCCAAGGGCTCCTGGACTGCGAGAGGGCACGGGCTGGGCTGAGAGACCACCCCTGCCTCCCCCAGTGCACGAATTTTGTGTACTGGGCCTCTAGTAGTATATAAAGCAACAGTTTTCAAAATACTGGACAATATATCATGCAATGAATGACAGTGTGAGACAGGAAACAAATGAAGTGAAGCCTTCGATTGACTGCCACAGCTTATGGTCTTGAGAGTTTCAAGCCAAGGTGCTGGGAGAGAGAACCTAGGCAGAGTCAGCAGATTGCCTGAGGTGAGGAGATGGAGCTGAGTTGGGGGTAGGGGGTTGCCAACTGGCTAGAGTCAGAGGATAGAGAACCCAAGAGGAGAGCCTGGGGAAATGACCCCAGTCTGAAGAAAGTATCATTCAAAAGAGTTGGAGAAGTATGCCCATCGCTCACATGGCTGGGAATAGTACCCACTATTCCCACCAGCCAGACTAGGAAAAACCCATCATTCACAGGACATTGAGAAGAATACTCCAGAAGGTCTTACCTCAATAGTGGGGAATAATGAGTGCTAGCTGGGACACTGTTCAGGACCCACCTACCAAATCATAAAAGCAAAACCCAAAAGGATCAAACGAGTTACAAGTAATTTAGCTGTATCCCAGAACAATACTCAAGAATATTTATAGGAAGAAAAAAAATATTTATAGGAACACAAAACTAACCAGCCTAACAAGTTAAAATCTACAATGTCTGGCATCTAATCAAAGATCATCAGGCACACAAAGAAGCAGGAACACATGACCTATAATTAGAATAATCAATCAACTGAAGTTAACCCAAAAATGATCCATATGTTAGAATTAGCAAACAAGAAAATTAAAACAGTTCATTATAATTGTATCTCACATATTCCAAAAGTTAAGTATAGACATGGATGATAAAAGAAAAAGATTCTAATTGAACTCCTAGAGATAAAAACTACAGCATCTGAAATGAAAAACACACTAGATGGAATTAACAACAGATTGCACATTGCATTAAGAAAAGATGAACGAGCCCTAACCAGTTTGGCTCAGTGGATGGAGCGTCGGTCGGCCTGCGGACTGAAGGGTCCTCGGTTCGATTCCAGTCAAGGGCATGTACCTTGGTTTCGGGCACATCCCCAGTAGGGGGTGTGCAGGAGGCAGCTGATCGATGTTTCTCTCTCATCGATGTTCCTAACTCTCTATCCCTCTCTCTTCCTCTCCGTAAAAAATCAATAAAAATATAATTTAAAAAAAAAAAGAAAAGATTAACGAATTTGAAGACTTTACAACAGAAACTCTCCAGAATGAAACACAGAGAACATTTAAAAATGAAAGAACATCAATGAGCTTCAGGGAACATGTCCCTAAAGCAGTGGTTCTCAACCTTCCTAATGCCGTGACCCTTTAATACAGTTCCTCATGTTGTAGTGACCCCCAATTTCATTGTTACAAATTGAACATAATTAAAGCATAGTGATTAATCACAAAAACAATATGTAATTATATATGTGTTTTCCAATAGTCTTATGAGACCCCTGTGAAAGGGTCGTTCGACCCCAAAGGGGTTGGACCCACAGGTTGAGAATCACTGCCCTAAAGGAAGAGGTAGATAGAAAAAATATTTGAAGAAATAATATCTAGAAAATTCTCCAAACTTGCTGAAAACTCTTAAACCCACAGAACCAAGAATGTGAATGACTGCCAAGAACAAGAAATATCAGGAAAACTACACCAAGATCCATTATTTAAAAATCTCTTCAAAATCAATGATAAAGACCAAAATCTTAAAAGCAGCCAGAAAAAAAGATACCTAAGTACAGAGGACTAGAAATAAGGATGACAGCAGATCTCACTAGAGAATAATGAAAAAAAAAATACACAATGGAACAGTATCTTCAATATCCTCAAAGACAATGACTATCCAACCAGAATTCTTTAACCCAGCAAAAATAGCTTTCAAAAATGAAGACAAAATACAGATTGTAAGGAAAGAAAAAAGGCCTTTCTTTTCCTTTGCTGTACCTTCCACAGTTTATGGGAAGCACCTGGTAATTAAACCCCAAGATTGTTAGGCCCTCTGGTTCAAACCGTCTCTCTGTTCAAACTGAGGGGCAAAATAAGCTACTCTCAAGGCTACATTCTTTTTTTTTTTTTTTAATATATTTTATTGATTTTTTACAGAGAGGAAGGGAGAGAGATATAGAGTTAGAAACATCGATCAGCTGCCTCCTGCACACCTCCTACTGAGGATGTGCCCGCAACCCAGGTACATGCCCTTGACCAGAATCGAACCTGGGACCTTTCAGTCCGCAGGCGGACGCTCTATCCACTGAGCCAAACCAGTTTCGGCTCAAGGCTACATTCTTACATACATATCCCTCCTCCCTGCTGATTTACAACCCAGGAATAATTAGTAGAAAGTTCCCTTCCTCCCTTTCCTTTAAACAAGCCTCTTTTGAACTCTTCATAACTCTTACTCTAAAAATGTTTTACAGCTTTGGAAAAATACTAAGGATAAGATACCTCATGAGAACATCTGCCCAGATTGTCTCCTGAAAAACTAATGAAGACAACCCCCCTAATGTCTGCTCAATTTCACCTAACAACAGCAGCAGCCTGAAAAGTCCCCTCCCTTCCTTATCCAAGGCTTTCTACTATCCAAGGCTTTAAAGGGGGAGTAGGGCAGCTTTTGTTCCTTGCCTTTGCATTGATTAGCAATGCATTGGCCCTTTCCCTTTGGGGAAAATAAACTTCCTACATTCATCTCTTATTTTATTATTTTTTTAAAATATATTTTATTGATTTTTTACAGAGAGGAGGAGAGAGGGATAGAGAGTTAGAAACATCGATGAGAGAGAAACATCAATCAGCTGCCTCCTGCACACCCCTTACTGGGGATATGCCCGAAACCAAGGTACATACCCTTGACTGGAATCGAACCTGGGACCCTTCAGTCCGCAGGCCGACGCTCTATCCATTAAGCCAAACAATCCAGGGCTCAAAGATAATTTTTAAAATAATTGACTATTTAAGCAAAAAATAATAACAATGTATGGTGGAGTTTATAAGACATCTACTTATATAAAAACCCTGGGTGGTGTTCATCACAACCAGAACCTCCGCAACCAAGCAGAAGTAAGTCAGTCCTGCAGGGGTTGTCTTGGTAACGGCTGCGCCCTTCCCAGAGCTGTTTCCCCGGAGCTGTTTCCTGTAAGGGCGGGGTTTGAGGCAGGAACCCACCCTGGGAGCGTGGAGGCATATCTTTCTAAAGTGTGCCACGCCAGCACAGCCAAGGGTGAACCTGAGTGGGGGCAGCTGAAAGACTTAGAAAAGACAGACAAGAGAATGAAAGCCGGGTCTCGGTGGGACGCTGCTTCTCTGAGAGTCAACGACCACACCCACAGCCATGCCTTTGTTTTATACCAGATGCTACGAGGCAAAGTAAGGGCGTGACCAAGATGTTTACAACATTCTCCTGGGTTTCAATCCTACTCAACTACATGCACCTGAACTCTATCAAGCCTACATCACTCAGGCACGTGGGGCCACATGTTCGGACCATA